GGCATCATCACCTATGATTCCAAACCTGAAGCTTACTGCTGAAGGTGAGGAGTTGAAAGATCCGACAGTTTATCAAAGATTGGTAGGTAGACTTATCTACTTAGCCAATACTAGGCCGGACATTTCATTCGCAGTCAGCCGAGTTAGTCAGTTCATGCATAGGCCATGTCAGCCTCATCTTGATGCAGTTTATCATATTCTTCGGTACCTCAAGTCTTGTCCTGGACTTGGGTTGTTTTATGCATCAGGATCTCAGACCGGTTCTCTAGCCTGTTATTCAGATTCAGATTATGGGGGAGCATGTGATGGTCGATCTACTACGGGTTTCTGTGCTTTTCGAGGGACTCATCTTATCTCTTGGAAGAGCAAGAAGCAGGCAGTTGTCTCCCGCTCGTCCGCAGAGGCAGAGTATCGGGCATTGGCACTTGGCACATGTGAGATTATCTGGCTACGATCGATTCTTGACGAGTTGGGTTTTTCAGTGACCTCTCCATCCACATTATATTGTGATAATCAATCTGCTATTCAGCTCGCTTCTGACTCTGTACTACATGAGAGAACGAAGCATATAGAGATCGATGTTCACTTTCTTCGGGAGAAGGTCAGCAGTGGTCTTGTTACTCCATCGTTTGTGGGGACCAGTGATCAAGTTGCGGATGTTTTTACCAAACCTGTCACTCTGTCTATTCTTCGGGACTCCGTTGTCAAGCTTGACTTAGTTGACATTTTTGCGCCTAGCTTGAGGGGGAGTGTTGGAGTATAGATAGTCTAGGTTTATTAGGATTTCTTTTCCCTTTTTTACCCTTACTATGATTTTTATATTTTGCCTAAACTACAAGGATGTTTAAGTCACTCTGTATTATTTTTGGATATATATACGGGGTTCTACTCTTAATTTGAGTATCCATTTTCATTCACAACTATCTCAAGTGTAGTAAACTCTGATATCATTGAGTTGAACTTGATGGGCAAAGACCCAACTCAAGTTATAAGCCTAGTCCGATTTAAAAGTCCAATTCCAAGAGATCCACAAAATTCAACTCAATATGATCAATCCGGACAAGCTCATTAGAAAGCTACGTCACCAAGAGAACATCAAAGAGTCTCACCCTCACCACCTTAGGAACCAATGAGCTCAAGCACCATAATTGTCTTGCTCGTTGAGAAGAGGTGCGTCTCCGCCGGATCAACTATTTAATTATCTTAAAGTCACCTCAATCCGTTATGACCACCAGACTAGTTATTTAATTACTATACTGAGCGACTATAAATTGTAAACCCCATCACCACTTGGGGGCATCAGATTCATTCGAGATAATTCTCTCATCCTCTCTCAAAGCTTGTAACCTTCTGCTCTCACACTACACCGGAATTAATAAAATCATGGCGACCCTTGTCATTCCAAATGGACATAGGTCACTGTTGTGATCGTGCAGCAATTATGGTGAATAGTAAGAAATCAAACAATTAAGAAAGCAGGAGAAAATAACACATAGAGATTTACGTGGTTCGGCAATGTGCCTACATCCATGAGAGCGAGCGGCCATTCTTTTTTCATTATTCAAAGTAGGATTACATCTTAAGTATTTATATAACCCTAATACGGACGTATTTATAAAAATATCCCTGTACCGTACCGCGGGGGCGTTGCCCCCGCACCCCCAACTAATCAGCATCCTCTTTATACAAATCCCACAAGGCAGATGCCGTCGCAGGCTCCGCTACGCTCCGGCATCTGCCTCCTTGCCATTATGCACACAGCAATATATGAGCCACACATACTCTAACAGTCACCATGACCGAAAACCACTATAAACTTGATCTTCTCTCTCCCTCTACTTTACTGCATTTTATACTGTTTAATTGACAAGTGGTGCGCAAACCAATTTGTACATCATCAGAATTGATCAGTTGTTTTCAACCCCTAGTTTGATTTCATTTCCGCCCAAATCTTTCGGCTCAACTTAGCTCTCCAATCTTACCATATGCTTCTATGGCCAGAATAAAACTCAGAGACCTAATATGTGGAAGTTCTTGCACAATGCCCAAGTTCGTTCTAGCTCCTTTTTCTTCCCCAAATATCCATACAGTATAACAAGGATATCTAATGTTGACCAGTTATTTCCCGTCATAGACTTCTCTACCTCTTCAACATAGGCCTCACACACATTGTAAAACCGTGCCGCAGCATGTGCAGTGACTAATATGCAGTAAGATACCTCATTTGGCTCAACTTCTGCTAGCTTCATGTCACCGAACACCTTTACCAAGCCTTCAATGTTGTGTTCATTAGCTTCCATTTTCAAAAGAATGTTTTAAGTGGAAACATGGGGAGCCACCCTATCAGCTTTCATTTGAGTGAGGAATTTTTAAATGACTTTCTTACGGCTAGGGGAGGAATGAAGAATAATGAGCCAAGTACGATATGGGATGACCAAGTGCCCTCATTTTCTTCATGTACGAGCGGTAAAGGCTTATCATGCCTCTATCTAAGCATGCAATTACAAGATTGTTGTAGAGCAAATTCCATATAAATATATAACTCCAGAGCACGAAATGAAAAGTAAAGGCCAAAAATCAAGTGTTGATTTCACCAAAACAGGGTGTTGACAGGTGAAACGGGCATAAGGTTTGGCACAAACAGCACATATGTGATTGCTTCCAGACTCAAAACCCACATTCTCACACTTGGCAGTATAAGCATTTTACCATTGTACCAAACAATGGACCGTTTCACTGATTTACGCTTGGGGATTATTTAACTGAAGCATTTGGAGAAACAAGGTAGTATGCATATGTAAGTATCTCAAAAGAGAGAAGAACCTGAGGGCACGTTTGTTTGATTGGAGCTTCTTTAAATGGTTGATGATGTGGAAAATATGGCCTCTATGAATGGGGAAGCCATCACCGATCCAGCACTGGAAGGCAGACCCAACCGACTCTCCATTTGGTAGCCTCTCGATCCTCCAACTTTAAGCTCTTTGGTTCTTCTTCTTCTTTTCTGTTTGATTACGATCTGTTCTCGCACGAATTGATTGGTGTGTGGGTCCAATAGTGGAAAGCAGGATGACTTTGGTGGATAGCAAGTGTTCGACGTAAGATTTGAAAGACCCTCCCTTGACACAGTAGGACTATGGTTTGCATGCTTGTTGATAAACGTTTCCAAACCAGACCTAATATATCCTTTCACTAATCGGAATATATTAATTTTCATTTGATAGAGAGAATAGTGGAGTAATGAATGAATTTTTAGTATTTTTTCAAAAAAAATTGTATTGAAAGCTAAATAAATTTTCTTAATATAGTTTAATTCAATTAAGTCTAAATTTTTGTATTGACTTCTAAATTTTCCTTGAAAATATAGAGAAATAGAATCGGGGCGTTCTCAAGCCCCAATCACAAAAGATCACCCAACAAACTGCGATCAAACCCACCCACAATCTTTCAGAAACACCTTCCCATGCCACACCCACATACAAGAAACCCACCCTTCCATTGCTATACCCCCACCCCAAACGTGGATCACACACCTACCAACTACCACTTGCCACCACCAACCCCCACGGTGACCACCAAAACAAGGAGGAAAGAGAGAAATAGAGAAGAAGAATGATCAGGATTTCTGTGTGGTCTCAGGAGAGCACCGAGATATATATAACTTGATCAGTTGGATGATTGGTGTTAAGCCATAGGGCAGGGTTTATTCAAGGTTAACAATATTCTTAGTTGGTTGAATTAGTTTTTTTAGGAAAAAAATTAGATAAAATTGTGAGGGTAATCCTGGAATTATACAAACTAACGATGCTTACATGATATGATTTTGGATGGCCCTTTAATGGTAGTTTAAGGGTTGAGAAAATCTATTAGCCAGCACCAAAACCAAAAGGGAGATTTGTGTTATTATCCATAAGTGAGATGCTTACCTATCCCTCAAGGCAAGATTCAAAGTCTGAAGGCTAGAAGATCAAATATCAAATACCTTAAGTATTAAGTATCTTCAGGAGAAGTTAAAGACTCCTCCTTAGTATTTAGCAAGTATAATTAGGCTTATGGACCCGTTCTAACTTTTGTACCTAGTCTTGGGTTGTGAGAGATTAGTTTATCTATAGACTACGGAATAAATTTTCTAAGTATTGCTTTGGGTGGCTTTTTTTGGCTTGTTTTGAATTTCATTGTATATCTTATTTTTTCGGTTTAATAAACTATTTACCTTCCAAGAGGTGCTTTTACCTATCATTTGGATAAACCTCAGGGAAGGTGGATGTAATTAACTCTAAAAAAACCATTCCAGCAGTTTGTGTTTGTCCTGTGTTATGGATTAATTTGAGATTGAACTGTAGACAAATTAAGCCGATAAGCTCTGAATTTATAAATCTTAAATAATGGTGGTTATAAAACTATTTTCTTTCAACAACCCTGTATTTCACACATTATTTCTAAGAAGAGTGACGTGAAAACTTACCTTTCTATCAACTACCTCCTTTTTTAAATTAAGGTTTGAGTTGGACTGCATTTAGGTTATTTGCAAGTGTTTCATGTTAAGAATATTATTTAGATCGGGTTTGACACAGTGGTGAGGTTGTTCCTCGGTGACTTAGACATCACAAGTTCGATCTACAGAAGCGTCTTTTCGGTACATATGCGTAAAGCTCATACAAGTGAAACTCCTTGGACTTCATTGTGGCAGGAGTGTCTCCATTTTTTATGTTTTATGGACATTTTTTCTTTAAAGTTTGGTGAACTGACAATGAATGATTCTCTAAATAAGTAAACAGGATAGGACTCAGAAGCTGCCTTTCTGTTTACGAATCTCTGTGGACATTAGATTATAAAGTGATGCGGCTCTACATGATAAAAAATGACACTTAAAATACAGAAGGTTGGCCTCAGAGCAATTACAAGCAAGTTTGAGGAAACTTCTTCTAGACGTAGGAGCATTTACAGAAAGAAAGGAGACAATGAAAGAAGAAAGACATATGGTTGTGCTTACCTGTGCATCAATGTCTGGTGTTTCACCTGTTGCAGCCTACTCTCCGGCACAGCCATCTTTGCCAACACCATCACCATTTTCCTTTTCAGTTGCTTCTACCAGGTGGAGCTCCAGACCTTCGATTCATCTCTCCAACTTATTACTGCGGTCTCTGACCCTCCTGTTCTCCTTTGTTTCTGCTCTTTCACTTGCTGCTCCATCACCAAACAAGAATGAAGGCAAATTACATCATGGCTTCCTCGCCTACACGGAATTCAAGTAAGCAATAGGTGCAAGATGAAATTCAAAATAACATCCATATCTGCTTGAAATTTGATATATAAGTTGACTGTACCAATTTTTCTCTGGCTGTTTTGGCATTCAATTGGTAATTTTGGATAAAAATAGGATACAATATTGTCATCACCAAATTGGGAGGATTAATCTATAGAACTCATCTGTGCAGGTACTGCTTCATTGTGACCATCTTGGCTTTCCTCTACTCGGCCTATCAACTCTTTAAAGGTGTTTGCGACATGGCTTACAGAGGCATTCTCATCTCAGACATGGCATCCGACTACAGTAGCTTCATTCTTGACCAGGTAAATGAATTCTCCAAGAGTCCTGCTCATAAGCCATTCTGTTTAACTATCCATTTGTGTCCACCTAGCTATACATCGAGGAGACTAGGACACAAGAAGTGTGTATCATGATAAAATGATAAAGCCAAAACATATACAGGCAAAGAATCTAAAGGAAAACAGATGAAATCCATTGACAAAATGAATAGAGAATGTTATGTGAGCTCTGTATACTGATGTATAAATATTCTCGTACCAGGCTTCCCAGAACACTGAGAATCAGAAAACTCACCAGAGAAAATTACAAAATCATATAGGAGAGGTGCACGCACAGCACAAGAAGAAAACAGAGATGCAATGATACAATCATGAAGGAACTACGCATTAGATCTTAGAACCAAGTGTCATTTTGCTCAGACCAGATCTCTGGTCAATACAGTGACAATAACAGTAACTTGAAGCGATTGCAATTCAATGTTGCACATTCATTAAGCAATAATCCATAAGCAAGAAAAAGAGAGTTCCATCTCAGATATAATTAGGTTATCATGGCAATGCCAAAAATTTCCTTGAACAATTTTCTACAAAGGAAATACTAATATAAAGACCCTAGATATATACATCTGTCAAACAAATATGCACCTGGATATTTCCACAGTGTCTTGTCATGAGTAATGCACCAGTTTACATATTCCTTATGTTCGGTGAGAGACAAATTTAGTGCACGATACTCCACAAGGTCACCCTGTTAGTCAAACCCTCCCCCCTCAAAAAAAAAACAAAAAAATGCATTTTCCCAATCCCAATATATACGTACACGCAGAGAGAGAGAGAAGAAAAAAGTGTAACGGCTTTGAACAACTAAGCTTGGGCACAGTTCTGTTACATATTGTTCCATGTTTCCCTTCTTTCACAACAATGAATCTTCCATGGATTAATTGATTTGCTACCATGTAACAGTTGGTGGGTTACCTTCTCATCTCATCCTCCTCAGTAGTAGTACCAGTGATACAACAGATAGAACAGAGTACATCGCTTTGGAAGGCAGCTATTGTCTCAGTCAGCATGTCCTTCGCTGCTTTTCTTGTTATTGCAGCTTCTGCACTCCTATCAGGGTATAAACTCTGCAAGAGAATAATATGGTGACACGGTGTTGTGACGATGAAAGGAAAATATAAAAGAATTGCAACAAAACTTACTGTCTTCTACTTAGATGGCCATCTCTAAAGCTTTAACTTGTGTGTCCGTTGATGCAATCTCTCAAGTATGTGATATCTACTCTTGCCAGCAAGTGAAATAAATACTTCATCAATTTTCTTTCATAAATCCAAAAATCTCTGAATGTGTTAGTGGCAAATTATTTTTAATATGTTTATCAGCAGCAAGGATTCGTTGTGTTGCAATTCACCTATCAGCAGCAAGGATTAATGCTACTGTTGTTAGAGGGTGGTGGTAGTTCCTATTATCTCTAATATGACAGTTACAACAGCAAATTCTTGCCGTACTCCTAAACTCTTAAATGCAATTCATGGTTCTTCTTATGAGGACAAATTTCCAAATTCATAACCAAAACCAGTTTGTTCTGAACTTGACGTAACATCCAACATGGAGTTTAAAGTTTGGTACACAAGTGAACTAGTCCTAAGGACCTAAACCAAGCCAACCAATTATCATGAGCAATACAAAAAAATAAGAACTGTTCTGATGAATCTTCTGACAAGGTTTCTTAGTGAAAATTAGCAACAGTATATTACCTTGCGCATCTGAAGTCTTCTTTTCTTCCGTAACCAGTATGCCATCTGTGAACTCACAAGACTGAATAGGGGCCTCAAGCTGTTTTACAACAAACACTTTTAGCTCTTCACAGATGGTGACCACGGTACCCTTCCTGCCAAGCCGACCAGTTCGGCTGTCTCGATGTACATAGCGAATTGAGTTTGTGGTTAAATCTAGATTAACCACAAGATCACATTTCTGACCCATCCAAACTTTTGGCTGAAAGCTCGTTTGTCACCAGTACTCTCACCTGCCCATTCTTGAATTTCTTTGAAATTGTCGGTCTTGCAAGTTTGCCAAGGTCTCCATGAAGCTCTGCAGCTTTTATCCCACGGGCATCCAGCTTGAAGACAGCATCTTTTAGTTGTTTAGTACAATTCATGAAAGCTATCAAGGACTTGGCATCGAGTGCATGCACACATCTCCTCAATATATCAACTCTGTGCTGTAACCTCTTACGCAGTACTAATGTTTTAGAGCTGGCAGTAAGCTCTTAATGACAGCCAGAGTCTGCAAATTCGACATTGAACTAGAAGTGGAAGAAGATAGAGACAAACTAACAGGTCCATTAGGGAGGGACAGACCCAAGAGGCAAAACGCTTTTGGCTTGGACAAGAAGTGGATATGCTGATCTCTAGAACTCTCCCCGATTTCCCAACTACAACTAATGGCTTGCTTTTCTTAAGAGCTTCATCCTGCCTTGATCGATTTGCACCTTTTTGATGATGCACAAAACAACATAAGTTAGATTAACAGTCGAGCGTGCGATAAAGAGTGATTAATGGAACAATCAATGACAATAATATAAATATCGAGTCAACACACAGATATATAGTAATTCGGTCCGGGTCATCTACTCCACTCCAAAAAATAGCAACGATGGTCGAGGGACTTTTATTGATAAAGTAAGGTGAACCAAAGAGAGCAATGGTTAACTTCGGGAGGGATATAATAACTACAAGAGAGAAAAAATATGTGTATAGTGTGTAGAGAGATATAGAGATAGATCAAGAGGTGTCTTCTCATATAGAGAAAACTTACACTGAGCATTGATTAAGATGATGACATAGAAGGCAAAGGTAAATGTCATAAGAAGTTGTCGTGATCTTCGAAAATGAATATCTCGATAATTATTTTTCACGTGCTCTAATTATTCTTGGATTCGTTGGACTTTGGATTGGGTCATCGACCTGAACTTGACCTACCTTTTAGCTGATTTAGACTTACTTGATTTATTGGGTCTGACCCAATTGAAGTGACAATAACGTTTAACAAATAAACCCCAAGGAAATGAATCCAAATTAATTTATGAGATCCCAAACTCTAATCAGAGTTTACATTTTTACTAGTTTACTTATGATTTTTTTATTTTATTTTCTGATTAATCTTCCATATTTAATTAACAAATTATAATTTAAATTTAAATTTAACTCGAATTTTAATTTATGTGTGAAATACAAAACTCAAACTCAAACTCAAAATATTATTATTTTCAACACAAATTAAATCAGATTTTGGCCTAAATTAAGTGTTGGAATTAAGTTAGTTTGATAATGTAAATTTTTTTAAAATAACCTCTTCCAACATATAATTTTTTTTAATGGTGATATAAATTTATCATACATTTAAATATGACTAATTATATATAATTGAAGGAGAATAAGAGCCGCCAAATAAAATTTAAAAAATATTGAATTCTAGAGGGGTCCTAAACTCCATCCAACATCCTTATCTAACCGCACGAATCTTCCAACAGTTTACCGCCACGTATTCAGTCAAAGAAGTGAAGAGTAAATTATATTTTATCCCTAAATTATTATTTTTATTTCACTTTGTACTTCAATTATAAAATTTTTCACATCATACTCTAAAGAATCAATTTTAATTCATATTAATATAAAATAACAAATTTAAAAATCTGTCAAATGAGGGAGAAAAATCCCAAAGAGCATCTCGTCAAGTGCTTAGTACCACTTTATTTTGTCTCTTTTGCAACCAAATAGTTGCTGAGAATAAAACAAATAGTCGACCATCGGAAAAAAATTTGAAATTTAGAAAAAACAAAGTCACGAATAAATATTTTTCTTAATTTTTAACATGCACATGTATAATAGGCAATTGTTTATTGGCATTACAGACCATTCATGTGCACATTTATCGTCAAAAAATTGATAATCATTATTTAGTGATATAAAAAAAAATTAATATTTTAAGATATATAAAAAAATTTATAGTTAAGGGTATATAATAAAATAAAAGTAATAATTTAAGGGGATAAAATGTAATTTAACCTAATAAGAACATTAACGAAAAAAGCGAACCTTCTGGAAAAGAACCGATGGATAAGTATCTTCTCGCTCCTTCCTCAAAACCTACTCCATTCGTGGGTCCCATCCTTTTCTCCATTTCTTTTGAATATGATAATCACTTTCTTTTCGTTTTCCTTCTCTCTGTTGTAATCATTTACTACTCTTACCCCCCCCCCCCCCCCCCCCCCCC